TGTTGCCTCTATATGGACAATTCCGGACAATTCAATTAAGGAACTGAATCACACAGCAAGGACCTATCTATGGACAGGGAACCCCCACAAAAAGGGGAGCATCCCCAAGATTGCATGGCAGTATATCATTAGGAAGCCGCTCTATGGGGGTCTAGGGATCATAGATCCTAGATACGAGACAAAAGCCCTCCAAGCTAAATGGGTAGTCAAACTATTGATGAAGCCAGAAAGCGCATGGAACAAATTGGCATTGGACAGCATCAGAGCATTGACACCAGTCGCCTCGCCGGAAAACATGACTGGTCTGTTTTGGGTAATGACTAAGGAATGGAAGCTGAAAGCAGGAAGGAGAAGACAAAGAAGGGGACCTCATCTAGACACAGTCAGACACCCTACCCCATACTGGGCGGCTCTGATTCGGATCTGGAGAGAAATAGTACCAAAGAAGTTCAACAGACCAAGATCCATAGATGAGGTCTTAAGACAACCGCTGTTCGGCAACAAATGGGTGACAGACGAAGGTGATAACCCTATATATTTAGACCACAGATGGCTATCGTGGGTCGAAAACGGGGTATGGACAGTAAGTCACCTATGGAGTGAAGAAAGGAAAGAGTGGGCAACCGAACAGGATTTGAGCACACGCCTGAAGGGTTGCCACAGACGAGGGCCCAACCCCCAATACATTATTGACCGCATCCCACAAGACTGGAAAGATATTTTGAATGAAGCGTCGTCCTGGAAGTTCGGAGAGTGGGGAGTTAAGGTGCAAGAGTCCCCTCCCTCACGAGCCCTCCAATTCTCACACATGCAACCGGGATGACCACCAAAGCCGTCTTTTCCTCCTTTCCGATCTCCCCATCCAAGCAGGGCATGCCATCAATACTTAGTAAAGATATGGAATTGGTAGTTATAGATTTCTTTCTACTTAGAAAAGTAACAGTGTTAGGTTCATGGCCTAAGTTAATTTTCAGACCAGACACGGCAATGCAAAACCTGGAATTCGACCCGGCAGGATGGGCCTGGACACCGGACAACGATAGGAATATCAAGTCTAAGGTCCCTATATACGACTACACAGTTAAATTTGGCTACAAACTTCTGGCTAAAACCAAAGACCCGGATCCTATAATCAAGAATAGGTGGCAGAAACTAATAGGCCAGGAAGCTGACGAAGTTACACAGATTCCGTGGAAGAAATTTAAGACTATCAGGCCGATTAAAATCAGAAGCCTTCAGTGGCTTATCACATACGCGCCATTGCCTGTGAATCAATGGCTGCACATAAGACGGCACAAAAACGATCCCACCAGTTCGGACCTATGCACAGTCTGTACAGAAGGGGCTCAGTAAGATGTAGTACACTGCCTAATCCAATGTAGCGAGGCAACGGATTACTGGGCACGGGCCTCAGCCCTTTGGGACTCCCTTTTCCATGCCCCTTTCCCCGAGCATCCCATCCAACTTCTCCTCTGGACTAACATTCCTGACCAGCTCCAGAAGACAGAAAGGTTGTGGTTCTGCCTGATCAGGAAAGTGACGTTATGGATCATTTGGGAAGAGAGATGCTACAGAACCATCGAAGGACTTCCAACCCAAGAGAGAAGGTATGGGCGGAGACGAAAACCGTACTACAGGCTGAAATTCTTTGCAGATGGCAGAGGTTAAAGCAGTCGATGCCTGGACGAGGATCTACAGAAGAATGTTAGGAGGAAGTTCACCAGGTTGTGGTTGGTGAACGGTAAGGTGGCTGAGCTACGGAATGACCGAGTAGTTTGGAAAGACTGGCACAATTTAGAGACAGCCCGGAGAGCCCAGATGGTGCCTTCAGTGGATAGGCAGTTGAGTTGAAGCGAGAAAGGGTCACCAGCGACCAGGGAAGAGAGTCAAGAGGACAGTCGCAGACACTGCAAGGACTGGTTCAGACCGGGCATGCAATCAGAAGGGCCTAAGGCTATATGGATAATCACGGAGAAAGGGCAAGCGGGAGAGAGTACAGATCTACCACATATCCTGGTACAGGTCGGAACACACGGGACTGGGAGAACAGGTTATTATAGACGTTATGAATCTGAAAGTGAGAAGACATAAGTGACCATGGACTACAGTCTGCAGGTTGCCTCAGTGAAAGGGCAACAGAGAAGGTGTACCATTAGAAGGAATAGGGGAGGGGCTAGGATTAAAGGGTTTTAGCCAGCTGGTAGCGACTCAAGGGTTTAGGGTTTAAGGATTTTGGCCAGCTGGTAGCAGCTAAAGTTAGTGGAATCATTGTAAACAGGCTTCAGGCTACTGGATAGAGGTTACAGGGATGCTAAGGTGTGGGAGTGCTCGTAGTTGGCTAAGGGCCTTTCTTGATCCTTTCGTTGTAGCTGACAGGTTCCTACAGGGGGCCTGAGAGGGAAGGACTTAGCAGGGCAAGCTGACAGCCAATCCTCCATATAGATGGAGCAATCACTGCTGATCATGGTTCCTTCGGCCGTACGGAAGGAAGCGTGTGGGTGTGTTCATGTTGTATTATTCTCTTTGACTTGCCGGTGGAATAGGAACCGGACTGATGCTCCCCAGAATGGAAATGGAGCCAGGGACATAAGGACCTGTTTAAATCAAAAGAAGAAGAAGAAGAAGAAGAAGAAGAAAACAGTGGTGATGCAGGTGCAAGGAGACGTTTCTGTCCAATTGCAAATGCTGTTGCTCAACCTGTTTTTGAGAGACCTCGCAGTTGGTGCACCGCTGACGAACAGGTGCTCACCAGCACGCTTCCTCCGGTCAGCTGGCAGGTGTCAGCCATTGACAGGCTGCAACATTGTATAAAGAAAAAAAAAACGCTGGTGATGCAGGTGCAAGGGGAAGTCCCTGCCAAGTCGTGGGTTCTATTGCTCAACCTGTGTTTGAGAGGCTTCGGACTAGATCTTGTGGATTGAAGACCTCCTGCTTCCCACGAGCAGAGAGCAAAAGTCAACTGGTCCGCCGAATGTCACAGTCTGCTCGTTTTCCGTTATTTGGACTATTTTGATGCATTTCCCATCGCAGGTACTTTCCTTTATTTGCGCATTCTAACTTCCATCGCCTGCAATTCAGTGTGCCTTGTTCAACTGCCACCTGGGGAAGCAGCTTTGTTTTTCGATCCAAAGCAGTTTTTTGTGTGCCATGTGATGTCCCAACCCTCTTCTTTGGTCCTGTCCAGCTGCTAGTGGAACCATGCCCTAGGGGGAACATCACACTGCCCATTCCTGTGGGTTGAGGGCACTAGCTTTTGTTCCCAAGGTCCGAAGGGCTGGATTTAAGGAGTCTTTTGCTCTAAAGAAATTAAACTCTAAAGTAACTAACTGTTTCCACATTTTCCCAGACAGACTGCCGACATCCATGAAGAAACTGTTTCCACATCCTGGAATTCCCGCTCGCTAATCAATGTAATCATGCATACCATAGTTGCAGCGCACCAGTGCGCAGTGCGGGGCGGGGCGGTGCGCACTGTGCTGTGCGCTGGAATGACAGCGCGCGCACCGAGGGAGGTGCGCCCTGTGCGCGATATAAATGGAAAAAAAACAAAACAAAAAAGAACAGGCCCCACAGAGAGAGAGAGAGAGAGAGAGAGAGAGAGAGAGAGAGAGAGAGAGAGAGAGAGAGAGAGAGAGAGAGAGAGAGAGAGAGAGAGAGAGAGAGAGANAGAGAGAGAGAGAGAGAGAGAGAGAGAGAGAGAGAGAGAGAGAGAGAGAGAGAGAGAGAGAGAGAGAGAGAGAAAGGAGATAAGAAAGGGTCCCCTTCACGTCAATTCGAGGGCCCCTGCAGGTACCTCGAATGACTCCTACGTTACATGTGGAGTCATCGAGGACCAGTGCTTCAATTAGGAGGATGGTCTCGTTATCTGTGGAAGAGGTAGGGCAGACCACCAATATATGCTTTGGATTCGAGTTCAAGGCCTGTAGCTCGGCTGTTATGGGTCACCAATTCAGCTAGAGCCTGTTCGTGCCTCCACGTGATTCTCAGGGCCTCCCTCCACTACTCACCAAATGTATACAATATTAGTAGAATGAATCTTCCGCTAAAACATGGAACCATACACCGCCATATGTTATGTCTTTTGTGCATGTGGTGAGTAATGGAGTAGACCCCACTGTACGTATTCGTAAGAAAACAAAACAAAAAAAACGAGAGCTCCCTCCACCACTCACCAAATGTATACAATAATAATATTAGTAGAATGAATCTTCTGCTAAAACATGGGACCATACACTGCCATATGCTATTTCTTTTGTGCATGTGGTGAGTAGTGGAGCAGGCCCCACTGTACGTATTCAAAAACAAAAAACCGAGAGAGCTACGGGCATCTTCATCCTAACCCATAACTGCCAACATGCAGACCTGAACGCCATCCTTCAGAATATATTGGTGGTCGGCCAGACATGAAACTGTAACCTGTGACTTCTGCAATGTCCGTGGGGCAGGTCGTTACTAGGCGACTACTCCCTTCTCGGGAACTTACCCCACGACTGCGTGGGATTTGCAGAAGGGAGGGGGAATGCCAGTTTCCATACCCCGACTAAGAGAAAAGTTGGAATGAGCCCTATTTTATGCTTTGCCTTTTTGAAATTTCTGGGGGTAGGGCCTGCGGAAATTGAAATTTGGCAGCCCTTGCCCCAAAAAAAAGTTCGGGTTGGGGGCGCGGCCGGTTTGCGAGCTCGCGCGGTGCGTTTAACATTTTTGCTGAGTTGGGGACCCTAAGGAATGACAAAACCCCTACTTTTTTTTCTTTTCTTTTTGGACCTAATTTTTAGAGTGCGGTGCGCAAATCGTGTGCAAATCCGCGCACCGAGGTGTGCGGCAACTATGATGCATACGTTGCACAAACGTCACATAGTACGACTTTTTCTCGAGCACGCTGTCTGTGTGCGTTTTGTGCATGTGCAGGGCTCCTGCTTCGAGGCAGAAGCAGCTGTGCATTGGGAAAAGTGATGATGCAGTCAAGTAGGATAACGATGAATGACATTGTTGACATGCAGGTTGAAGGTGGACTACATGAAGAGAAAAGAGAAAGAGCTGAGAGCTGCAAAAAGAGCCAGGGAAGAGGAGCAGCGGAAGGTATTTTTCTCTTTCTTTGCAATACACAACCTTGGTTTTCATGACAATCATCCGGTGTGCTGTAATCTTTTTTTTTTTTTTTTTTTTTTTTTGGATCCACAAAAATTTGCACCATGTCCCGATTTATGCGTGTCATCCCTGCGCTGGGGCCATGCTAATCTTCTCTGTATCGTTCCAATTTTAACGGATGTCCCATACCTATTTCGTGAAATGGGAAGTAAGTGCAAACCATTCTTTCTGACTATTACGTTATGCTGCTGCTTAATCATTCTGTATCGCTTCTTTCGTTGAGGAGGGTTTGGGGTCCATTCAGATAAACGTCTCTGGGGAATTGTAAAGATCCAATGGCCCTCTCTTAGAATCAGGTTGACATGAAAGCCTTTGCGAAGTGACTGAAGTCTACATGATGGTCACCTCTTGCATTTACCAGTCTTTTTTTTTTCAATTAAAAAAAAAAACAGAACCTTATGGCTATGGCTCCTTTTCCATTCTGGGGAGCATCGATCCGGTTCTTTTTCCATCGACAACGATGGCAAGTCAGAAAGAGTTACATATAGAACTCACACACTCTCTTCCCCTTTACGGTAGGAAAACCCGAGGGATGGCATTGATTACTTCCGGCTGGGAGGATGTACCACCCCTCACCCCTGCCTAAGTTAGCTGATCTCCTTTTCTTCTGTCTGTACGGGCTGGACGAAGTCCTGGTATTGTGCTCCCTGTAAATTTGCTTAGTAGGGCCTCATCTACCGTGTTTCCTCTCAGGTCTTTGACTGCTAGATTCTCCTTGAGTGCCAAACCTGCTGACTTGGCCTTCTGGAGTAGCTCTTGTCAAACCCTAAACCCTCTCAGGTTAAGTTGCGGTTGCCCATGGCTGAAACTAAACCCTAGCCTATTTAACTGAACGTGGGTAGTTGTTTTTCTTTCCTACTTTTGGTCGTTGTAAGTTTTAACCAATCCCAGTCCTTCGGGACATCCGTTAAAATTGGAACGATACAGAGAAGATTAGCATGGCCCCTGCGCAAGGATGACACACATAAATCGAGAAATGGTTTAAATTAAAAAAAAAGTTTTAACCAATCCCCCCCCTAGAGCTATCTAGTACTGTGGAGTCAACTGACATTCCTGTGAGATGGGATCTACTTCAAGGCGGCTCTAAGGACTGTGGTATGGCTAGTCTATTGTGTCTCCAGACTCTCCACTGACCGAAATTAATTACTTGGTGTCCCTCCGTTTCTTGTCTGCCAAGGATGACCGGCCTTTTTTGTCGTGACCTTCTGAGAGTTGTTGGGTAATGGCTGAGATGGAGCACAAAAAAAAAGACACAGAGTGCACACGGATGCTCGTCTGAATGAATGTAGATTGCTTTTTGTTCAGATGCATTCACATTGTCCTCTTGTTTTCCTAGTGTCTCATCCCTTCTGAGAGAGGGCCGCGGAAAGTTCTGGTCTCTGTCCCTTTCAAGGATAAGTCTGACGAAGGGAGAACAGTAAGGAGAACTTAAGTTCACAGAATTGGAAACAATCATTTAACAATGTGAATAAACTTCAATAAAGTCTATTATAACGATTCATTCTCTCGTTAAAATTCAGGTACATCTGTTAAAGTTGGAACAATACAGAGAAGATTAGCATGGCCCCTGTGCAAGGATGACACACATAAATCGAGAAATGGTCCAAATAAAAAAAAAGAAGAAAAAAATTAAAAAAAAGGATTTATTCTCTCGGGTTCCGGTATGTCAACGTTTATTCATTGCTTCGTTGGTTCTACCAGAGCTGCACACTGGGCTATTCCTCACAGCTTGCGGGTTGTGAGGAGCCCCCCCTCCTCTCTGTGTCGCCTCTCTCTATTTACCTCTGTCCATCTCTGATTTCAGAGATCAAGGGGTGAGGTTCCCATTTTGACTCCTTCCCCTTGCTATCTCGTTCTTTCTTTTGATTTCTTTTCTCCCCTTCCTCTTAGGATGGCCTTTATTTCTTCAGGTTTGGAAGCCCATTGTACGTCCAGGCTCGCTCCCTTTCAGAGGTCTGTTCCTGGACGACCTTTGCCATCAGCAGGCTGGTCCGGAAAGCCGATAGCAAAGGTCCAGGTGCAAGGTGTCTGGTAGCTCCAGGTGTGCATGGATACAAGTAACAGGCAGTGATGGCCTTCAGGGTAGCACTTCGGGCACGGCTTCAATGAATTAGCTCAAAGCCTCAACAGGATGACTTGCATTTTGGATTTATGAGTGGCTTTTTTTTTCAGTTGTCAAGTGCTGACAGCCTTTGACTGAGGGTGTGGAACCACATGGGATTGCTCTCCACCTTCGTGCAGGCAGAGGAGGCTGTGAAACTGAGGGAAGAGAGAGAGAAGAAGAGGGACGAGGCATTTGAAAGGGAGATGTGCAAGCTTATATTGAGAGCACAGCCTCTTGGAAAAGACCGGTATCATAATCGGTATTGGTGGTTTCCAGCAGAGTCGTGTGTGCTATTTGTTGAGGAGTCACTCAAAGGGCTGGGTGTTCCAGATGAGAATGGTGGGGGTTACGTTGATGCAGATGGTCAGTTGCAGCAGCAACAATGGTGGGGCTACTCGACCAAGGAAGAATTGGATGCGCTAATCAAATCTCTTAATCCGAAGGTGAGTTCTTGCCTCCCTAACTTAGTGATCATGAACCGTGGTGCACTATTCTGCGTGTGGCAATGTGATAGCGAAGCTGTGCATTGCGTCAACAGTTTACTGCATTTGTAGTAATTTTGTACCCACTGCACAGTAACTCTTAGTTAATGCTGGTCTTTCCATGAGAAGCATCAGCATAGGTCAAGTAAGTAAGCTGTGGCGTGGTCAGTTAAGCTGTATTCAACGAACGAAGGTGGTTTCACGAAGAGAACCAAGAAAACAGTCTCCTAGCAGCTCTGTTGGAAACAACAAAAAGAGCTTCACACATTGAAAGAGAAAGGAAACCATAACTAATATCCAGCCCTTCAATGGGTGAAAAGGTGACATGCCAGCTCAGTTGCCAAGTCTGCGGCGCTGCCCACGAATGTCATTTGGAGCAGGGCTGGTCCCAGTTAGCACGGTTGGCCCTCCTCCGCCCTGGTGCCACCTGGGCAAAGGGCCTCTGGGGCGGGCCGGCTGACCCCCGAAGGGCCCCAGTGCATTTTGGCTGGGGGGGGGGGCTACCGGTCGGGAAATGGTCTGGAAGGCCTCCTACAGCCTCCCGGAGGCCTCTGCGGCTAAATAAGGAAAAAGGGGCCTCGTAGGCCCCTGGCATCTGGGCCACTGATCTTATCAGATTGGTGGCCAAGATTGGCCACCGTTGTATACCTTGGCAGGGTGGGAGTTTGTTTGAACTCCCACGTTGTGTCAGTGCCCTCGGCCTTCCTGTGCCTTCCACCCCATTGCCCTGGCGCCACACTCTCCTGCCATTCACTCGCGCTGCCTCGCTGATTGTCCCGCAGCGCGGCAAGAAGCGAAGGGAGCCTGCCCCCGCCCATCGACCTGCTCAATTGCGTCTTCTTCTTCGTCTTGGAGAGAGAGAGAGAGAGAGAGAGAGAGAGAGAGAGAGAGAGAGAGAGAGAGAGAGAGAGAGAGAGAGAGAGNGCAGGCAGGCAGGCAGGCAGGCAGGCAGGCAGGCAGGCAGGCAGGCAGGCAGACAGACAGACAGACAGACAGACAGACAGACAGGCAGGCAGACAGGCAGGCAGACAGACAGACAGACAGACAGACAGAGGGTGAGTTTGGTCGCTTTCTTGGTTCACGAGGGGCTGTGTTGCTAACAACCACTTGTGTTTCAATTTCTTCTGGTCTGTATTCTCTAGCTTTTTATGAGGTTACACTGGGAGCTAGTGCTGGTTATATCGAATTTGCACCATGGATTTTGTCAGAAATGTTTGATGCTTCTTAGGGTTTTCTGTTGTGTTTATGCTAATTGTGGTCACTTTTGTCAGTAGTTTAGTTCATATTTATTCAATCTCATATATGTCCGAGGATCGTTTTTTGCCTCAATTTATATGCTATTTCGTTCCTCCATTGCCCTCCCCTCCGCCTCTTCTTCTTCGCCGTCTCTTACTAGTTGAGTTGAACCTCTGCGCCTCCACTCCCGCTGTTTTCTTTTTTCCCCGTTTTTTTTTCCCCATTTGCTGCGCGCTTCCTCGTCACCCTCTTCTACTGTTTTCCTTTTTTTCCCCATTCCCTGCAAATCTTCACCCTACCCCGACACCCTCCCCGCCCACCCTGTTCTTCTTATTTTCTCATTCTTCTTTCCTCCTTCACCGCCTTCTTGTTTTTCCTCTTCTCCTTCTTCTTCTTCTTCTATATCTTTTTGAAGTTCAACTTTGATCTCCCAGCTCGCCTTCTACTTCTTCAACCTTCCCCCTCCCGCATCACCCTCCCCACTTGCCATCTTCTCCTTCTTCTCCTTGAAGCTTATTGAAGTTTAACTTTGTCTTCTCCTCTTGCCCAACAACCTCCCTGTTCCCCATCTCCCCTACCGCCCCTCTCTCCCCCCCTGCCCGAACCCGCCTCCCCACCCCAGCAATCATCGCCCAGAGGAATTTATGGGATAAACTTTTGTTTGCGGATTCCGACAGCTCTCGGTGAGAGCGGCCGGACCCCACCGGTGCAGCCCTGATTTGGAGTAAATGCTGACCATTATCCCCCTATGGGCTCGATAAAGCTGTGGAATCCATGAGGTACTAAAGAACACTGCACCGTCACCGCACCGTCACCAAGGGAATTGGAAGCTCGAGTCCCCTTGGAATAGAGAAGGGAACGACAAAAGGAAAACACGAGGTGGCTACATTGGCTTGAGAAAGGCATTTGCTCAGACCCACCCCTCTAGTTTTTTTCAGTGTGTCGCCTTGTATTTTCTTGCATGCACTGCGGTGAACAGAGAGACCCCGTCAATACAGTCACGCACTGGACACGATAGGGCCCTAAATTCTCCTCCCTCTCTCTCACTACAGCTGGTGTGTGTGTGGGAGAGAGAAGTGAGCGAAAGAGAACAGTACTAAAGCAAGAGAGAGAGAGAGAGAGAGAGAGAGAGAGAGAGAGAGAGAGAGAGAGAGAGAGAGAGAGAGAGAGAGAGAGAGAGAGAGAGAGGTTTCTTTCTGGTCTTGCACTGCATGGCAGTGCCAGAAGTGAAGTCACACTGGCTGAGTTTTATCGAGTTGGCTTCTGGTTGCTCTTTGAATTGCATGTGTTATGTGTTGGTTATCAATCTGTTAGTGCAAGAGTTAAAGCAGATAGCTGTTCCTGCTGCTTTGGTGGGTGGTAGTGAAAGAATGCAAGAGTCAAGCCGATACCTCTTCCTTGAAGTTCTGCTTTTTGTGAAAGAAGAATCCACAAGGTGAGTTCATACCATGAATGCACAATACTTGTTTTCAATGCCCTTATTAATAAGTTATTATCCAATAATTAAAAGAGATCAAGGTTCATACCGGATGGTTGGCCGCTCATGTGGTGTGATGGCTATTTTTCTCTGGTTTGGTTTGAATATATACAGGGAATACGCGAGAGTGCATTGCAGGCTTCAATCACGCATGTTTATGACAAGATTTGCCAGGCAACTGAGAAGAAGAGGTTAGGTGTAGATGGAAGCCAGAGTTTGGAGGAAGCTCTGGATGGAACGTTAGAAGATGGGCAGAAGGCTGATGGTTGTAATCAGGAGGCCATGAAGATGCAAACAGCCATTGAAGGCGTGCTGGTGACCTTGCAGGCAAGTCCAGCATATGCTGTGATTTCTGATTGCTTATATCGCCGTGCTAGATGAAGGGGAAAGTCGTGGATATGAATTTTCTTCAAATTTCTTGTGAGATCTTGAGTTGGAGTACTCTATAATGGTCTTTTGGCTCATGTCGTGCCTACATAGTACATTTCTTATTTTTCTTTTTTCGTTTTTTTTTCTTGACAGAATAAAGCCCCATCTATTCTGGTGGGCAGCAGTCTGGTTGCTTATCACCTGTAAGCATAGATAGAAAACAGTGGGAGAAAAAGACGACCAGCAAAGCACAGCCTATTTGCATCATTTGCACTTTGCGAGTTGCAGTACGTCATCAATGTTTTGGATATGTAATATTATGTATACTACTATACTTTCAGGCAGACTGGGTTTTGATGTCGACTTCTCAGGCGTTGCCAGCAATCTTGATCGGTCTGGAGTCCTGACTGGAACTGGATTTGGAGGAAAATATTTTTGAAATGGTAGGATGCAGTGTCCCATTGTTTTGGAGATTCTGTCAAAAATTATTGTGTGTAGTTAAAGCATCAGCGCCTTTTGATCGCCTATCCTGAAGCAGTTCCCACGTTTGATATTGTTTTCTGCACCAAGTCGAGGCCAGGCAGTTGATCCGTGAAGAGAAATGCATTTTGGCTGATGGGATGGCCGGGCATGAGGTCGACCGCAGCACCGGTCATCAGAACTTCCGAAACAAGAGGAACTCAGGGCAAAGAACTTGCAAATTAGTGACCACCTGAGCCTCTTCCCAAGCTAACAAATGTTTACCTGTGGCTTCTTAGGACCAGGCACCACTAGTGCTGTGCCCATGCTGATGAAGCACGAAGGTGACCCTTGATGTCACGGGGTTTGTGCTTCCAACCGGGAATAGAGCAGATAAGGGTCTGATCCTTACCACTCGTACTGTACAGTGCTTGCAGTGCTTGCTGCCCAGCCTATTCACAGCCAGCATGTGAGCCTATGTAGGAGAGAGAATCAGAGAAATAGACCCTCCACGAGTACCGCTTACACGTTCAGCACATGTCAATTCTTCAGCGAAAAGGAACGTGCAGCAGCAGAACAGGTTGGTTTTTCCAACCCTTAGCCTTTTTTTTTTTTTCTTTTTTTTTTTTTAATTTAAAACAGGGCCTTATGGTCCTGACTCCTTCCATTCTGGGGAGTGACAGTCCGGTTCCTATTCCACCGGCAAGTCAGAAAACAGTCCATCACATCGGATCAACTCACGCTTCCTCCCGTTCGGCCGGAGGACCCCTGAACAGCATTGATTGCTCCACTTTGCGTGAAGGATTGACTGTCAGTTTGCCAAGCGACTCACTTCCCCCTCAGACCAAAATTCATCGGTCTGCCAGATATGACTATTATATCTAGGATGAGTTCCTCCCTTGTTGTTGCCGGCCCCTACTGTCACCTTGACCCATCCCGCCCTTGTTTGATGTATCCCCGTTTATCCCTACTGTTCTCTCTCTGCCTCACAATCTGAAAAACCCTAAACCCTAAACCCTACCCCTCATTTAGACACTTTTAAATGGCCAGCTTTGCTCACATTTTCTCTCCATCCAGTATTCTGATGGCCAAACCCTGCCCTGACCCTGATTTCGTGAACCTTTCAGTGGGAACTTCCCCTCGCTGTCTCCCTCCTATACCTGTCKCCTTCTTTCCTTTTTGGCCTGAATCTCACAATACAGCTCTTCTYGTGGGACCAGTGGGCCCCAGTTAGTCTCGGACGTCTCGCCTCCATCATCCCTCTTTTTTAGCTCAACTGGTCCATCCTGTCTTGTAACGGCCGAACAATGTACCGTGGGTGGTGGACCATGCCTTTAGTGTCTTTTGCCGCTTCGACCCCTGAATTCCCTTCGATCCCAACCTTTAAGTTATAGCTGGTACCTCTGGTGGTGTCTGTTGCCGCCCGGCCCTGCCCTTGGTTGAGTTGTGCCAGTCATTCCGACGCTTCCGTTTTTCTCTGTTCTCCGCCCCTTTGCCATCAATCGGCCCGTTTCTTCTTGGAGATGTCGGAATAGAGCCCTTCTGTTTTTGTTGATCTGGGATGTCAGTCCTGAGGAGGATTTGGATTGGTGGTTGAGGGGGAGGGGATGTTGCAGCGGGGGACACATAGTGTTGATGTTTTGTCTCAGTGTCTTTATCAGAGTTAGTAGGGTCATTTCTGTGGGAACGTGTGTGGGGCCAGTGGTTGACTGTCTTTTAATTCCAGTTGTTGAAAAGCAGATTCTYCCCCTCTAGTTTTGCCATTTTTTCCCCCATTAGCCATTTTTGGATAAACTTTTTGCGTCTCTGTTCTCTTTTTTCTGGTTGCGGGATCTCTCGTTGTGTTTTTTGTTCTCTGTACCAACGTGCTYTTMTTTCGGTTTKGAKTATATTGTTTATCTCTGTCCTCTTTTCTTCTATGCTTAATGTCTGACCTTCCAAGGTTCCCTTGCACCTCGCTTTCCAAATTACCCAGAGTGTTGCACGTCTCCATAATTCTGCCACAGCCTCCGTTCCCTCCTCTAGGTTCTCGTTTTCGTATCTTCCTGATAGAAGGTAAAGAGGGTTGGAAGGGAATTCGTGGTCTGTTAATTTGGTCCAGATTTCTTTTGTTTCTTTCCACAGTTCCTGAGCTCGTTGGCAGAGGATCAGACAATGTACCAATGATTCCTCCAAGTTATCGYTACAGACTTTGCATTGAGCATTTGACTGTTGTGGGTCCACTTGTTTTCTTCTTTTTGCCAGCCAWTGGTTGACWGGTAGTGCCCAGTATAATATGAGCCATTGTAGGCCTCTGATTTTTGCCGGTCTTATGCTCATATACTGTTTCCAYGGGATATTCGTTGTCCATCCCGCTTCTTCATCCATGTTTCTTTTCCACCTGTCTGAGATTATTGGGAGTGGATTTTTTGTCTGATTGCGTAGTTTGTATCCTATTTTGACCTCGTATTTATATATTGGGGTCAGCTTCTTGGCTCTTCCTGAGGTACTGGGTACCATCCATCCCCATTCTGCTGGGTCTACCTCCAACTCTTTAATATCCAGGTCYGGTCTGAACAGTCTTATATTGTTTATATCTGATTGGTTGGCTTGACTGTGTTTGGAGCTTTTTTTGACTGTGCAGGCTCTTGTTCTTTTGAGTTTTTCCAGTTCTCTCACTTTCGCTGGTTCCAAAGTCTTGCCTATTTTTACCCATGATTTGTGTACTTCCTCCAGTTCGTATGAGGCGAATTCGGCCTTCCCTTCTTCTTCGTTCAGTATTTTGATTAGTTTGAAGGCTATCTTTGGGGTGTCTGGGTCCTTTGCTGTTGCCCAGTCTCCTACTTCCCATTTGGTTTTATTCTTGAGAAGTCGTAGCCAGTTTAGTGGGATACTTTCTAATATCTTTTCCAATTGTTCTTTTAGATTATGGACCCCCTTGAGTTGGTTTCTGAGTTCTTGTGTGGTAATCCATCTGTTCTCTTCTTCGTGCCACAGGTGTTCTATTTTCCACACTCCCTTGCTGATCCATTTCTTCCAATGTTTGCCTTTTGTATTCAGAGACCATGGTCTGTCGTTCTGGTCTTTTATTAGGGGGTTGCCGAATAGTGGCTGCCTTAGGACCTCTTCTTTTATTTTAGGGGTTCTGATTTTTTGTGGGAAGCAAGCTCTCCAGTGTTTTATTAGTGTCGCCCAGTGTTCACTCGGTGGGTCTTTGTCACATGACTGTCTTCCTCCCTCCCTCCTTCTTGGGTTCCAAGAAGGGTTCATGATCCAGTGGTAGCCTTCAATGGAGGAGTCTACTCTGAAAGGCACTAGATTGCGGATTTGATGCAGAGCCATTTCATGCCATGGTAGCTCTTTATTGAATAGTAGTTTGATTATCCACTTATGCTGCAAGGCTTCGAATTGTACTGCTGGGTTCAAAACTCCTTGACCTCCCTGGTGTTTAGGTCTGGTGATGTATTTCCACGCCACTTTGCTGATGAAGTGTTCCTTGTCTGTTTTCCCTGTCCAGAGATAAGATCCTATTTTCCTTTTGAGTGTTGCGAAGAAACTGGCTGGTGGGTTCCAGAGAGACGCTGTGTACCAACTCATTGAAAGTATTGATGTGTTGATTACCAGCACTCTGCCTATTAGTGAGACGTATGTTTCTTGCCATCCTGCCATCTTATTCATCATTTTTATTAGAAGGCTGTCTCCTGACGTATTGCTGGTCCCTTCTGCAGAGACTTGGATTCCTAGAAATCTCATCGGTTGTTGGGTGTCTAGCCACTGCAATCCTTGGGTGTCTTGGGCTTGTGGCGGGGGTGGTGTGGGGGCAAGCCACCATCCTATTGTTTTGTTCCAGTTTATCTTCATTTCCGAAGCTAGGTGGAATGCTTGCATTGCCTTTGTTAGAGCTAAGAAAGATGAGTCTGATGCTCTTATTAGTACTGTCAGGTCATCTGCGAAGAGCATAACTGTTGGGATGGAGAGTTGCTTTCCTTCATGTTGTACTGTGAGCCTTTCTATGGAAGGGTCCTTGCGGAGGAAGGCTGCTATTGCCTCCATTACGAAGAGAAAAATGGGGGCTGCAAGGGGATCTCCTTGCCTAACTGRCCTTGACATTTTGTATTCTGTAGATAGATGTCCATTTACCTGAACCATTCCTCTAGCATCTCCGTATAAAACCTTTACCCATCTTCTAAAATTTGGGCCTACTCCCATTTTTTCCATACTCTGCTGTAGGAAATCCCAGTTTACTTGGTCGTAAGCTTTCTCAAAGTCGAAAAATAAAATAGCTGCTTGTACTTTTTTATCTTTTATGATTTTTGTGGCTTCGTTTAGGCTTACTACATTGTCTAGTATGTATCTTCCTGGTATGATGCCCGTTTGATCTATGTGAAAACATTTGTCTGTAACGCTCCTTATTCTATTAGCTAGGGTCTTGGCTAGGATTTTGTAGATTACTGGTAATAGTGTTATAGGTCTATAGTTTCTTATATCTTCTCTGTCTCCTTTCTTATATAGTAGCGTGACGATTCCTGTGCTAACTTCTTCTCCTAGGGAGCCTTTGGTGAAGGCTTGCTTGTAGAATTCTGTGACTGTTTCTCCTAATAGGTTCCAATTTGCTTGCCAAAACTTTTTTGGTAGTCCATCTTTGCCGGGGGTTTTACTCGGTTGCATGCTCTTGAGGGCTTCAAAAAGTTCGGTTTTGGATATTTCCTTCTCAAGCAGGTCTATTGCTTCTTGG